CTACTGACGAATAAAATAATTTTTTTCTTTATAATTTATTTATATTTAATGCATACTTTTTAAATTTTATTTGTTTTAAATTGAAATATTATTAGAAATTTATTAAAAAATAATCAAAATATGTTTAACCTAAAATAAGAAATACAGGAATATCTTTCCAAAATATGTGAAATGATTTTATTATACAAATAATTATAAAATTATAAACAAAACAAATACAAAACGAATAAAAACTTTTAATAGTACAAGATATCTTTAATTCTTTTACATATATTTTCTATTTTTAATAATTATAAACTCAAGAAACACATTATAGTTTTAAAATTAAAAGTAACTACGGTTTTTTTTTTAAATATATTACATTGTGCCCCCTAAGTAATTAATATGCTTACAATTACCCAACAATAGCGAAAATGACCTTTTCAGATGAATGTTCCATGGAATAAAGAAAAATCGTTAAAAGTAACATCGTAGGGAGACTGTGTAAGACGACAACATACCTCAGGCGGTTTTCGTAATCACGCAAATATGAGGGATTTTTGTAATTTCACTTACATCAGGGGTTTTTTCGTAGTTTGTCTGATAATTACTAAATTCATTCCCGTCACCGTGCATATCGGCATTGCCGGCATTGAAACCGCAAATGCGAAGAGCTATCTCTTGAAAAATCGATGTAAGATGCTATGTAGCCACCAATGGTTCCTGTCTGATTCTCCACATTTTTATCGTCGTAGGTGGTGGTGGTGCCGTGGTGGATCATGGCGTAACCTTATTTTTGGTATGTCTAGAGCATGAAATAGATTACAAAAACATATGTTATTTATCTTTAATGCCGTTTTATTTAAACAAAAATTGTTTGGGGTATAATGAATAATGAATGTAGATTAAAGACTTGAGACTATACAAATTCCCAGCTCAATAAAATTGCTATTAATTAAATATTAATAAATACATTAGGAATTAGTTGAACAATCATTAGGAATCAGACAGTTTTTCCTTATCAATATTGAGTATTCCTGAATTATAGAAAATTTATTCAATGAGAAATTAAAATTTATTTTTATAAATAAATTAAACTAATTATTTATTTATTTATAGTACACGTACTTCTAATCTTACATATTAAAGTAATTACTGATTGGCATAGATAAAATTATGAATTTTATAAACTATTTTTTTATTAGTAAACATAGATATTCAAAATTCGGAGAGTGATAAAAATTCTTCAACAGAAGAAATTTGATACTAACTAATTAAATGAAGAGTCTTTTTTAATTACATTTTAGATAGCGATATATGTTAAGATAAGATAATTAAAACTAATTTTAAACTGTTATGTTGGTATTATTTTTTTCGTTAATTCTATTGTACGTGCATAAATTGACCTTGTTAATTTAATCTTGTCCATACTATATTTGGCAATAGTTAATAATATAATTATTTAATGTCATAAGTTAATATTAATGTATAATAATTAACAATCAGTGTATATTACTCAATTGTCCTTAAAGGTTTGAACTTGCCAAAGGGTATTTTTGCCTCTTCAAAAAATGGAAGAAACCACCATAAAATTCCTCCTTTTATAAGTACTAGAAAAGTGCACGTGCGTTGCACGTGTCGTAATAAATATATAATATCTTGACGCCATGTTATTTGGCATTCTTAAGAATGGTGTGAGCGAGATGCAAATTTGTTACACAAACAAGATAAAGAAGGGGATTATCTGTAAAGTTGTTGAGCAATATTAGCTAAAACAAAGAAAAATAGTTTTATTCATAATATTGTAATGTTGTGAATAGTCTTGTTTTCTAAATGGGCGTTAGATTTCATTGAAAGTTCATTGCCCACATGTATCGTGAAAATGTAAGTAATGTATAACTAATACATTGGATATCCCTCCATAACTTAAAACAACAATAGTCCTCATAATTACAAATTTGGCATAAATTGTATAATGTTGTTGTTTGTCAATCGGTATGGGAAATTAAGATTAATCAAGTGTAGCATAGAAGACAGTAAAAATCATCCTTAATTTTAAGAAAATGGGTAAAATAGAGTTTGCACCCCTGTAGTATCAAAAAGGTCGCATTCACTCCCCTGTAGTATTAAAAACTAAAAAAATCCCGCTATTTTTTATAGTCATTATACCATATTAAATTGTACCATATCTTTTACCTCTAAATTATACCATATGTAACACTTACCACCTTAAAGTATTAATTGTAACACTTACCCCTCAATCATCATTTAATTTATTGATAAAAAAAACAACATTTAATTTGTATATCAAATTTTAATAGCTTCACAATGTATCTTTTATTGGATAGAATAACTAAAAAGAATAATTATATTATATTATTAAAATATATATTAACAAAATATCATATCTTAATATTTAAAAATGTTATCTTGCGTTAGGTACAAATGCAATAACATAACATCTAATTGTTTTTGTAACAAATAAAATTTTAAAAACACTAAGAAGTAAGTTATTGAACAAACTTAAGTATTTTTATTTATTTTAATTCATTAATTTCTAAAAATATATTTTCATTCATTATTATATAATATATATTATTAACAATGTTTTTTCAATAATTTAATATTAGTTATTTTAAATTCTATATGATCCAATAATTATTGTATGGTTATGCTATTTATTATCCCAAAAAATATACACTTTTACAATTTCAAATACTGCATTGACTTTTCAATTGATATTTTTGATAAATTATGTGAATTATTTTTCAATTATTTCATTTATTATTATTTTTTAAAACTTAAGATGTAAAATACTTGATGCAAAATAATCAATGTGTTAATCTTATGCAACAGCTTTCAAGTGCTCATGTGTGTAGAGACAAAAAAAATCGGTTGCCGATCCCCTTGCGGCATGGGCGCATAATCACTATCACCTTCATTAATTATTTTCGGCAAACGACCTTCTTAGGTCAGTATTGATTGCATATCGATGTGATGTTTTTGTGATATAGGACTTGCGACCATAAGGATTGGAATGCAGTCGCAGAAACTCTAGATGAATATGGATCAATCTCAACGTAGGAGAAGAGCGCAAAACTTGAATAATTTAAGGTCGTGGTGAGATATTTCAGATATTGGCATTTCCAACCCCATATGGAGCCTTTTTTATATTTGAGTTACAATAATCAACATAGGCATATTCTTTTAGTTATTTATTTTCTTACCCACTTTTGGGGCTTTTGTGTAATATTGTAGCAGGGTTTTTTTTTTTTTTGGTCCGTTTTTATTCCTGATCTCTTAGGGGTAGTGTTTTCCTTGTGTTAGGCCCACGATGTTTTTAACCAGACCCCCTTATACTTTCATTAGTATTTAATGTAATAAAAGGAGTTTGGCCAAAAAAAAAGGGGAGGGTTAAGGGTTACATAGGCTATAAATCACGGGTGCAAAACGTTTTTAACCTGTTTTATTCAAATTAATATTATGGGATAAAAAAAATTTAATTCAAAAACTAAAACATGACTGCTAACACTGAATAAATGAAGAATATTACACAATACATGACTATTAACATTAAATAAATTAAGAATATTAAACAATAAAATTTTATTTATTCAATGTCACCCTTTTATTGAAACTTCACAAATACCACCATTGAAATTGACAAACAATCAAAAAGCACAATGTTGTGGCAGAATGGTGCAAGAATTTGGGGACATTTCTGGTTATGTATTGTATTATTGTGTTTCAATAAATTTGTTGATCGGAGTTGCGGCTTTGATGGGAGACATTGGTGGGATATTAAGGGTTTCACATCGGAGAGTTGGGGCTGTAGATACAAGTTGAAATTGCAGGCGAGGTGTTGATGAGTTGGAGACAAAATTCACTGAATCTGGACTCGAGATTTAGTGAACCTCGAACTTCGCAAGCCCTCAGATACAATTTCTCATTGACGATTAAACGTATCGTAAAAAAGGGAATTTCATTTTATTTAACAATATTGTGGTCTTTGATCGAAATTATTTTTCATTTGGTTTAATAATCATTATAAATAATGGAGTGATTCAACAATCTATTTTGATTTTTATTTCAATATTTTCTTCATTGAAAATTCATTGCCCACATGTATCATGAAAATGTAAGTAATGTGTAACTAATACATTGGGTATCCCTCCACAACTGTAAAAAGAATATCACTCCTCGTAATTACAAATTTGGCATAAATTGTATAATATTGTTGTTTGTTAATAGTTATGGATATTTAAGATTAATCAAGTGTAACATAGAAGAAACTTAAGAACCATCCTCAATTTTAAGAAAAAAAAATTAAATATAATCCAACAACTACAGTTCAAGTAATACATAAAAAAACCGGAATGAAAAATGAAATCATCTATTACCAGATTTCACGTGAACACGTTCAACTTTTCCATATTTGGAGAACGGTCGTTTGAAGTCCAAATGGCTAACCTCGAATCCAAAATAAATTTATTCCTATCCAAAGTGCGTGTCAGACTTTGAAATGTATACTATAAATAAGCATGCAGTCTGGAATTCCTCCAGGAAACCACTATATAGATCAATGAGTCGGGATCATCTCATGCAAAATAATGTCGTTGAAAATAAATGATCGGGTGAACATAATCTTCAATTTTAGCACTCCATGTCGAATAACCAGCGGATTGAAGCCAAAAATTGTATTTAAATTTTATATTCCAATAAATGAACACATCGAGGCATTAAAACTGATACACTAAAATACGAACTTTGTACTAATACAAATTGAAAATAACATACTAAAATATAATTATTATTGTAGATTTGAAAATTGTATCATAAATAAAGGTTTTTCGAATAAGGTAATTTAGTTAATTCTAATAGTGTAATAATAGATAATAATAGATTATAAAAAATAACGATCATGTACTCTTTGATGGTGAACCAATTCCATATTATGATCTGAGGCGGCTATCGGAGAATCAAAATAAATAATGCAATTAGAATTAGAAGTGATGTAATTGTAAAAAAAATGAAAATATTAAGGATGCACTATTCATCCACCCATTATGAGTCAAATAGAAGGTTTCTTCGAATTTGTATTCGAGATCTACAGACAAACATAAAGAAAAAATTAAGGAATAAAGAATGATAAATTGGATTAATAGTTATTAAATTTACACTTTAAACAAGATAAAGTATCTTCATGGGGAATTAAACATTGTAGAGGCTATTGCAAGAACAAAGATGGAAGAATTTAAATAACCTTATTTTCTTCATTTTGTTGCCTCTTTGATGAGTCTCCTAATAAACATCATACACACATTATATATATACACACACATTATATATATTTGGAATTACATGATATATTGAAGGGTCTGTTTTTTTTTTTTTTTAGTTTAATCAAAACGTGTGTCATGAATGTAACCTTTATGCAAACTATTGAGGGGAATTGCATGGGCTTTGTTGTATAATTGACTTGTCTAATACTCTAATTAAGTTTAACCTTCCAGTGGAATTGGATGCCCCTTTTCCATTCAAGAATCCTAATAGTTCAATTAATATTGCATTAATAATTATCCTAATTAATATGTATTAACAAATTACTTGATTGTAACCGGCAAAAAATAATCATCATTAAAAGTGTAGTGGGCAAGTAAAATAAGTATAATTATTTAATATTATTTCATAGTAATAATTATTCTAATTAATATGTATTAACTAATTACTTGTTTTAACACAAAATATAATTATCATTAAAATGATAGTGGACAAGTAAAATAATTATTATTATTTAATATTATATCATAGAAGTGGCGTTTTTTTTTAGTTTGTTATTGTTATTGTAATGTATATTTACCATATTATCCACCAAATAAGTTATTGGGCGAAGGGTAATATTGGACACACAAAAAAGGGAAGAAACCATTACCAATTATTCATACTTTTATAGTAGGTATAGATAGATAGTATAAATAGTATATACTCTTGTTACCTTGGAATTGATTTTGAGAAGTACATGCGTCAAGTATTGGTCGTCGATCTTCGTCGGAGAAATGCATTGTGTGACAATACCCAAGCCACATAGACACTTTTTCTTCCAAGGTCCTATATGTGTCATAAAAAAGTTATTGCAATAATAGATATACAAACTAGAAAAGCTTGTCAATAGATATTCCGGAAAAACACATAGCAAAAAATCAGGGCGGTTAGGTACGTAGCTCATCTATAATTTGTTTAAACATCATTTCCACGCGTTTTACAGGGGTATTAGCTCTTCGACATTTGGGATCTTCCTCAAATGAATAAATGAAGTAAAACAGAATACCTTTGTTATTAAAATTCCATGGGCCATTCTTGGGTATACAATCTTCATTATTACCAACTTTTAACTGAAAATGGAGGAGCATCACAGTGAAAAAAAAATATAACATGTGATGTAAGAAAAAAAAAACAACGTATAGTGACAATATAACTACCTACCTTAGGTGTGTCGAGAATTCGTCCGTTTATTTGAGTAAGATTCTTTTCAATTGAAATTCCACAATCAAAGAGGATATGATCTTCAACGTAGTTACACTTCATAGCCTGAAAAATAATTCAACAAACGAAACAATTACGCAATAAAGTAAAGACGGAAAAAAAAAAAAAAAAAGTATGTAATAAAAACAATTACTTGAATTATATCAGGAGGGTTCTGCTTCAATTTTTCAACTAGGGATGCTCTTTGGTTTCTCGACAAGGCTTTCGTGTATCGCTGAACAGAGACTAGACAGAGCTGAAATTCAAAAGAAGCCAGAATTAAATTCCTTGAATGAGAGATCAAAAAAAAAAAAGAGAAATAAAAAAACCATTCACCTCTATAGGCCGGTAATTCGGTCTCGTTGGTTTTCCAACATCAAGGCATGGCATGCTCGATGAATAAACAAGTTCTATATTACGGCGTTTAACAAAATAGTCTCTTCATCGTCTCCCGGACTAAAACTGAATAAATAAATCAACATCAGAGATCTTTTAGAAAAAAAAGAAGTAAGATAGAAAAAACTGTGTTACTTACAGCTGCTGATTACAAGGTTTCTCACTTAAACCGATAACTTCGAATTCAGCACCACTATGACTCGCCATAATCCTCATATTCTTGAGCATCTTTTTGGCCTGTCCTTCAGTCTCGGTGTCATACGTTAACAAGCAAATCTCGAAAAAGGTTAAAAAGAAAAGCCATATATATATATATATACCTTTCCCCAGTCAATATCACGAGTTTCGTTGAAAAGCCATATATATATACCTTTCCCCAGTCAATATCACGAGTTTCGTTGACTTACTAGTTAGCAAGAAGAAAGTCAACAATCGGTCCCGGTTCAAATATGAGGTTTGCCGATACATCTAACAGAATATACTTTAGTATCATTGTTCATCCAATATGAACATCTTGAGAAGAAAAATGAAAAAGGAAAGAAGAGCATAATACCCATGTTCAGACACAAGCCACCTAGAGTTGGACAAAAGTTGGAATCGAAAGCTCTCACTCCCATCAAACCCTCTCCAAATTCCAAGAACATGCCTCTGTATCCGGCGCTTAATATTTACTTACACGCTAACAACATTATATACATATACACACACACACACACACATATATATATATATATATATATATATATATATATATATATATATATATATATGCATGATATATAGACAACAAGGTTGCATTGGTATACCGTTTATCTGCTTCTTGTCGTAGAACGATGTCTAAAACCCTCAGAGCATCTTTTTTTTTTTTGGTTCGGATTCGGATATGGAATTCAACGCTACTTTGGCAACATTCAAGCCACCTTAAATGTTTTTGACACTAGAGAGCTCTTAGACCTTTTGTAAGGCTCGTTTTCGATTCCATCTTCAGAAGGATTTCGACTAAAACAATGTCGACGATTCAATCAGATTTCGGCAATAATAAATAAATGCAATAAAAAGGAAAACAAAGAAGACGTTAGTTTTCAATCATAAAAAGTTACCGTTTCGGAATAGATTCCTCAAGAACCACTACGAATTCGAAGTTGTTCTGAGGTAAGGGCCCCACAGTATACACACTCGCTTCACCATATATCATAGGCGAATCTCTTCTCAGCAAGATCTGAAGTGTACGTTTGGAGAAGTTCGTTAATGGCTTCCCTCCCTAACACATTCATGCATGTCGACCGCTGTATTATCCTCGGGCGTAATAACAACCTGCAATAAAAGATGGATTTTGTCTTTTATACGTTGTGTTGTATAAGTGCAGTTGAAAAAATAGAGAAGGGTGCTACTACACTTACGCTGTATTTGTAAAAAGTTGTGTCTGGATTTTTCGATAGAAACTTTGAAATAATTTGCGAGCAACGAGATGCGCTGGCCCGAATTTCCGAATCCGGGGCGTGTAATGATAGATCTCTTTGGCATGTTTTCTTGTACACTTGGAGAAAAATGCTCTGTGCTGCCATTTTCTTCCAACTCTGTTTTTGAATCTGATCAAAGAGTTATGCATTTCAATAAACAGAAATAGGCACAACAAAAAAATTAAAAATAAATAAATCCAGAGAATTAATGAACAATTTCCAGCAAATAAGCTACACAGAAGTTTCGAAATCTACAAAACCCTAAAAATACAGAGTGAAAAAAATCACTACTTCACAGCAAAAATGCAATGTATACACACAATATATACATACAATACACATTCCACATAAAACGCATGCGTGTATGCACATATACACACAATATATACATACACACGAAATGTACGATTAAATGCTTACATATACGCCTTAGTATCTGAGAATTTCTAAGCAAATGGAAAAAAAACACAGAAAATACACACACACACACACAGTGTGTGTGTGTGTTGTGTGTGTGTGCGTTTTCAGGGTAGATAGAGTGATTTCTCAGCTCACACGCAAAGGGGGTGTACATTAAGTGTGTGTATCGACTGGTTTCTCTCTCTCTCTATGCTATTTGCTGTATAGCTACATCATTCTAGAGAGATGAGGGAAAAAAGGATAGAGATGCTTTTTGAAGAATTTTGATCTGCTGCGGCTGTGTGTACTGGAAGAATGGTGTGTCGCATCTCTGACTGTCCGTTGCTTACATCTAATTCCTTTTTCAAAGTTGAGATTATTGGTCTACAATTGAATATAGGGTAAATTACAACCACCCCTGAGTTATGGTCAAATTACGAAAACCTCCCCTCTTGTTTGAGTAATTACATCCACCCCTCAACTATAAATCTTCTTATACGTCCACCCTTTGCGGTTTCAAATTTAGTGGAATTTTCGAGATTATATGGAATATTATCACTTTTGTACCCGTTTTATCCTATTCGAACTCTACATTTTGAAACAAGATGATCATAATATGTGTTTTTTGGCTTGTATATATCAGATTGTGGTGCATCACAAACTGTATTTTTATACAAAACGAGTACAAACTAGAGCGCATTCAACGAAATCTAGATTATTATGTTGAATTTGACACCATAAGGGTGGAGGTGTAAGAAAAAATAATAGTTGAGGGGGTAGATGTAATTATCCAAACAAGAGAAGTATTTTTGTAAATTGACCATACCTCAGGGGTGGTTGTAATTTACCCTTGAATATATTACATTTTTTTCTATGTGAAATCTATATAATATATAAAAGTTGAATTGCATAGCTAATTGATTGACATTTGGCAATTTTAATTGATGACATGTCCTCAATTTCATCCCACGTGGCGAATTGATTGGTGGAAATAAATCATCAAAAACATGTCATCATTTTCCAAAATTAAAGGTAATTAAATATATTTAATTATTTTATTTATCTATTTATATCCTACCATTTATAAAATGCTCTAAATATATCAACTTTCTTGGAAACCCTAAATAAATTTATTTTTGAATTTAATTTTATAATTAATTTAATTTGAATTTAGTTAAATTCGATTTAAAATCTTCCCTTATTATAATTGCATGATTGGCGGTGTTACGAATTTTTTTAAATTTTAATTCATAAAATTGGATTTATATTAAAAAAACATATTGCAGAATAAATTATTTGATATTATACATTTTACATGAACATGACCAGAGAATATGTATTTTTTTACTAATTTAATATTATATATTAATATTATCTGTAAAAAAGAAAGATACATGTTTGAATTGACTATCTTGCGAAAATTGACACTATTTGTTATTCCATGTGTAGAGTAATGTACTCCCAATTATTTACCATATTGAAAATTATAATACATAAATTTCATGTTATTATTTAAATAATTATTTTTTCTTCACTGATTCCAGTGACAATAAACTTTACGATTGATTTAACCTTTTTAATTATATACTAATTAAAATACAAATTTTATTATGATTATACTAATAAATTGAATAACCTAAGTTAAGTTCAATCAATTCATAAAAAAACGAATTGATTTTATATATTTCAAAATATAATAATTCTAAATCTTTGGAATTAAATTTGTTTATCCACTTTATTTAATGGCTAACATTAAGAATATCAATTGTTTTGTTTAAAATGTATAATGATTGTATATACTATATATTGTATTCCACTAATAAGCATTTTATTATAATTCTAATAAATATAATGAAGTAAATATCTACACCAACTCCAACCCAAAAGTATCAAAATGAGTTCGCAAATATTTATGTGCTATTTAATATTTTGTTTTGATATTTATCTAAATGTATTTTCTTCAACCATAGGTATTAAATAGTTGTTAATTAAATATATCTAATTGCGACATGTTATTTTCTAAATGGACACTGAGGTGGTTAAATTCATAACTCATGTTTGATATTTTATTCTGCATGATTGCATAATGTATTTTTTACATTTTGAAAGATGAAATGTCAAAATACCTCAATTCATAACTCTATTAGAATTAAAAATTACTATCTTAGAGTATTAAAATAGTGGTTAAATGTTTTGATAGCTTATTTAATAATCCCACTCGAATGCTCTTGCCGTAAATAGTTTATATTAATAATTCCCCTAATGTTTGTTTCCGTCTTACGTCGACCCCCTTATGGTATGATTTTCAAGGATTATTACGTGGAATATTCCAATAATGCTTATTATACCCTGCACACACGACATTTCTTTATGGTAATTTTTAAAGACAAAAATTACCCTCAGGTGAACTTTACACGAAATCTTTATTCTTCTTAAATAACACTTTCACAATTTTTTATTATTACCATGACAACCCTGAGGGTAACTTTTTAGTTTAAAAAGTACTATAAAAGAAATGTCACGTCTGCAATGGTGGACTCCATATTTTTTGGGACATTACATGGAATAAAAAAGATTCCGTAAAAAAATCACACCATAAGGGGGTCGTGTAAGACAGAAACAAACATCAGGGGGGTTTGGTATAATCACCGATAAGTGGGGGTGTTTTCTGTAATTTCACCTAAGTTCAAGAGAATTTTCATAATTTATCTTATTAACAATGATTATTGTTCTTTTACGTCTTAACGCTTACTTATACCCTTATAATATTTTAAATAATTTTAATGTCAGTTTGATAATATAATTAAATATTAATTTCTAACATATTCATATGTGTTTTTTATGGTTCAACTGCCACACCTAAGAAATTTGATATAAAGGTTCAAGATTGAATATAATTTTTTTTATACTAAATAATATATCATTGCAAAAAAAAATTGTTGCAAAATCAGAATTTGTGATTAATATTAGTATTATAAATTATAATTAAGATTATTTGAATTAGTATTAGTATTAATACTAGAAATATGTTTCAGATTGTAATTAGGATTAATATAATATTAGAATTATGATTAATATTAGTATTAGATTATAATTAAGATTATGATTATGCTTAGTACGATAAGTAGTGACATGCATTAGTATTAGGATTGGGATTAGAATTATAATTAAAATTAGAATTAGAATTAACATTAGGATTAGCATTAACATTATTAGTATTAAAATTATTAGGCTTATGATTAGTGTTAGGAATAAGATTATGGTTAGGATTACGATTAGAACTATTATTAGTGTAATGAATAGAATTACGAATACGATAAGGATTTGGATAATGTTAGAATTACAATCATAATTAGCATTAGCATAATAATTAGCATATCTAGATTAGCATTAGCATCAAAATTAGTATTAGCATTAACATTAACAATATTAACTTATTAGTATTAGTAATAGTATTAATAATAGTATTAGTATTAATATTAGTATTAGTAGTAGTATTGGTATTAGTATTACTATTAGTATTGGTATTAGTATTAGTATTAGTATTAGTATTAGTATTAGTATTAGTATTAGTATTAGTATTAGTATTAGTATTAGTATTAGTATTAGTATTAGTATTAGTATTAGTACAAATATTAGTATTAACATAAGCGTAAGTATTCGTATCAATATTATGTTCGGTATCAGTATAAGTATCAGTATTAGTACCACAACATGTATCAGTACCAATATCAGTACCAGTATCAGTACATTATTAGTATCGATATCAGTATCAGTATCAGTATCAGTATCAGTATCAGTATCGGTATCAATATCAGTATCAGTATCAGTATCAGTATTAGTATCAGTATTAATATCAGTATCAGTATCAGTAACAATAACAATAACAATATCAGTATCAGTCGGTATCGGTATCAGTATCAATATATGTATACGTATCATTAGCATTAAAATTAGTTTTAACATTTATATTAGTATTAGTAATATTATTAGTATCAATATTAGTATTAATATTACTATTAGTAATAGTATTAGTATTAGTAATAATATTAGTATTAATATCAGTATAAATATCCGTATAAGTATTAGTATCGATATCAGTACCAGTATCATAAAAAAATACAGTATCAATATCAATATCAGTATCGGTATCAGTTTCAGTATCAAAATCAATATGAATATCAATTTCAGTATCAATATCAATATTAATATTAGTATCAGTATTATTAGTATAATATTAGTATTAGTATTAGTATTAGTATTTTTATCAGCATCAGTATCAGTATGAGTAACAATATTAGTATCAGTATTAGTATGAATATCAGTATTAGTAATAGTATTATAATTAATATTAATATTACCATGAGTATCAATATGACTATCAACATCAGTATCAGTATTAACATCAGTATCGGTATCAGTATCAGTGTCAGTATCAATATCACTATCAGTATCAGTATCAATATCAGTAAGTATTAGTATTAGTATTGGTAGTATTAGTATTAGTATTAGTATTAGTATTAGTATTAGTATTAGTCTTAGTATTAGTATTAGCATTAGCATTAGTATTAGTATTAGTATTAGTATTAGTATTAGTATTAGTATTAGTATTAGTATTAGTATTAGTATTGATATTAGGATTAGAATTAGTATCAGTATGAGTACCCGTATTAGTACGAGTATCGGTATTAGTATTAGTATCAATATTAATATCAATAGTACTATTATTATTACTATCAATATTAGTATTATTATTAGTATTGTTATTAGTATTAATATTAGTATTAGTATTAGTATTAGTATTAGTATTAGTATTAGTATTAGTATTAGTATTAGTATTAGTATTAGTATTAGTATTAGTATTAGTATTAGTATTAGTATTAGTATTAGTATTAGTATTAGTATTAGTATTAGTATTAGTATTAGTATTAGTATCAGGATTAGTATCAATATGGATATCAGTATTGGTATTATTATTGGTATTGACGTATACATCTTATCTCTTTTGCAA